AATTCTCAAATAAATTTTCAAAATAAAGTATGAATAAAATAAGACATTCATTTCATGGAAACTCAAATTAACAGAGTCACATTAAACGCACATTATTGGCTGCCGTAGCGTTCTTCACAGTTGCACTTCACCTTAAAGGTAGGTTGATAAATTGCATTTAGCTTAACCACAATACTTTCACATGTGTTCTTTATATACCTGAGTCCAGCTTGAAGGCGGTGGCAAGAGTCAAAACCCGCGGTCCACACACTTTAGGCACAGTCCGTGTTGAGCGTTACTTCCGCTCCACCAAGTTTAAAACAAAGTCCCGCAACTAAAAGCAAAATTAAAAAAAATATTTCAAACAAATACAAAATTAAAACATTAAAATAATTCACTGTCAGTTACACTGTGACGACAGAGATTGGCTGCAGCCTGCGCAAAGAACACGGAGGGAAACAACTAACAAGACATGAAACTCATTATCTCATCATTATCTTTATGAGACCCACGATGTAAAATGAGACAGTGCTTAACTTGAATCATTGGGAGGGCGCTAGTACAAGTTTCCGACTAGCCTGCCGGAAACACAATGAAGAAGAAGAAGAAGAAGAAGAAGAAGAAGAAAAACGGAAGTGACGCGATGTTATCGCTGTTCGGCGCAGTAGAATTTACGGAGAGACTTGGTGAGCAGGCGATGAAATCTAAAACCTTACTAAAGCTCGATGAAGAAATCATCCGTGAATGCAGACTATTGGATATCTGAGATAACAGGTATGTAAAACTGTCATGTTAAAAGATCCACTACGAAGCGTGTATCCTACGTCTTTCCCTGCAGGACTTATGAACGACAACCACTGGTAAAAAAGAACACTTGAGCACAAAGGCGGGAGTTTTAAAGAAAAGCGAACATATGTTTTTAGATTTACTCACCGTCTACTATGGCGTTATTTTCGTGCCACTCGTCTGAGCGCACGTAAAAAGAATTTGCCAGCACGAGTGTTGCATTTTGAGGATAAACTTTTTTTGAGCGAAGAAAGGCTAACTTTTAGCGAACAGAATTCACTGCTGCGTGCAAAAACTTATTTCAGTGTTTGCTTTTATCCATTTACACAGCCCCTCACTCAGTTTTTGCATTTGCTTTTGCTCAGATCTCTGCGGACCTGCAGCATTTAGATAGTTTACACAGTGCAGCTGTAGCTCTGTAAGGCCAAGGGATTGTGCGCACCGCGCTCCCCCAATAACAGGAAGTAGGGTGGAGACAAAGCACGCAACGGAATTGAAAACGTAGAAAAAGAGAGAAAAACATTTGTTTTTACCCAGTGACATAATTTACATATTAGTCCTTTGTGTGAAGGGGTTGTATTGTGATGCGGATATGTGGGGTAAATGACTATCTTTGAGCAGAAATGTCTAAACCGGTGAGGTGATTTCAGTAGGCACATGATGGGCTGAGCCAGGGTCTCCCAATGCTTTCACACAAAATCTCATAGCCTTTTTTTCACACCTTGGCTTGTCGATGATCATTGACTCACTTAAGTAGTCCCTAAAGTGGGTCAACGATCCTCTTAAGGGACAGCTCCCACTAGGCTTTAAATACCTGGGACTAAGGCTGGGCCATATCATACCGTTCACGGTAATACCGGTATGTAATAATGTTGGGCAACGTTAAGAAAATGAAATATCGCCATAGAATATGGGTAAAACGCGCATGCGCAGTGCCTTTGTTTTCATATGCACATGGCGGAAAAAGCATGGCAGCGACGGAGAATGAGAAGGGGGAAAGCGGGTCGTTGAATGACACGGATGAACCAGAATTGATTTGTTAAAATGCTGCAACTTCAGTGGCGTGGAACTGGTTTAGCTTTCGTCCCTCAGATACACAACAAAGCACTATTTTTGGTAGAGCATGCTAGCGGGCCGTCGTTATTACCGTGTTTATTGGAAAATATGATACATTTAAAATCAATCCTTTGATTTTTCTGAAAATCGACAGTGCCCCTTATAATCCCGTGTGCCTTATGTATGAATTCTGGTTGTGTTTACTGACCTCGAAACGATTTTATGTGGTACACAGCGCTCGAAAATGTGTCAAATGTTTTAGTACAACTTTGCTAAGCTATGAACCCGCACTGCTTGATGGATTGTCGAAGCATTACGGCATCGTAGGCAGGAGCCTCGAGGAGTGATGCGTACTGTGCTTCACAATGGGTGATGTATTGAGTTTTAAAATATATCGATATATTTTTATATGAGATGTGACAATATCGTTTATATCAATGTAGTCTATGTTACGTTGTAATTATACTTGAGCCGCAAGTTTGTCTCTCTTAGGGCTGGGCGATATGGCCTAAAATCCATATTGTGGTACTCCATCCCCTTCAGGTCCCAAAGTCAAAGGAACACTGAGAGTTAAAAACGGTCTAAATTCTTTCATCTTTAATAAAATGATCAGCGTTGCTGCTTTACCAGGTTTAACAATTAAGTTTAACATCCATGAAAACAGAAGTTATTAAATTTAACGGAGTTACAAGTTAACAGGCAGTTAGCTCGCTAGTTTCCACCTAAACATGACATACCATGTTCTGACTGAGAGATTTTTGAAACTAATTAAAACGTACAGCTCTGCCACCACTTCCAACATAAATGAAGACAGGAAACTAAACAGCAGTGGCGTTCGCGGGGTTACTGAAGTTGGACTACCTGGTATATAATATTGTGCTACGTGATTGCTAGCGACACAGCTATGTTAGCATAACATTAGCACAGTGAAGCTGGAGGATGAACGCCAACTTTTTTTCCACTCGATAAAAGTTAACGTGAGGGATTCTGGTGGTTTGGGACAAATGCAATCGCATAGCAGGATGCTATACACAGGCCAAACTTCAGTCAGGAGAACAACTGAGATTATTCATCCACAATACGAGGTAGTTATTAATATACTGCAACAACATGGGAATAGAACAGCTGCGAGAGAATTCAGCATTAATGAATCAATGTTACGGAAGTGGAGGAAGCGCAGTTTTTGGCTTGTCCCATATTTCAAAAGTGCTTCATCTCTTTCCTATGACTGTCGTCTGCCATAATTTGCAGATGATAATGGCTGTAGCCGCTGCGATGCTTTCGACCAAAACACGCGACCAAAACATTACTATTTTAGTGCTGTTAGCGTGACGTTAACGCCATAACTGCATTAACGGGGTAATTCTGTTAACGAGTTACCGCGGATCACCCCATGCGTGGGGCTGGACGGCGTCCACGAGCTAACTGGGCTAACACGTTGATGCCTAAAATCCTTTCATTTTCTCAAAAATCGACTGTGTGCCTTATGTATGAATTCTAGTAGTTTACATTTTGACTGAACAATTGTGAGCTTTTTGTTATGCACAAAAACAACATTTTATTTTACTTATGGAGCATTATTATTTAATAAATGCTGATAATTTATTTCTGAGTATTTTTTTCTTGTACATCTATGCTGTATGTTAATAAAAGTGCCTGTGTGAGATTTGGGACACAGTTTTGACTAAGAACTCTCTTCTTGTTCTTACTTTGTGGCTTTAAAAATATCGAGATATATATCGTATATCGCCATCCAGCTAAAGAATATCAAGATATGAATTCTGGGTCATATCGCCCAGTCCTACTTGAACATAATATTACCGTATTGTGTCCGTATAACCTCTTTTTGTGTTTTGTGGATATTATACATGGTTATGCTGAGGATATGTCGGCTAATTTCCACTGGAAATGCCTTTTGGTGAAACTGTCAGCAAGGAATTTGCATTTGCACTGTTAAATTTTTATATAACTTTAATGCACATAAAAACAGCTGCTTGTTTAAGTGAAAATACGTTGATTTTTTTTTTTTGCACTAATAAAGTTGTGAGCAACATGCTCACAGTATACAGACTTGCTAGAATATATTTGCTCAGATGTGCCTTCACATCTGTCATCATATTAGTAACCTTCTTGTTATGTCCCCTTATCATTTAAGATCCCCTACAGCAATATGAAGTGTGAGGAAGAGGAGAGTTTGAATGACCCGCAGGTCCATAACCAGGAGAGCAACTTTGGTCTGAGCGAGGATGGTCCAGAACCACAGATTAAAGAGGAACAGGAGGAAGTCTGCACCAGTCAGGAAATAGCGAAGGTTATAGTGAAGCAGGAGTCTGAAGAAATCTTCGTCTGGACCGGGAAAGAGCGGTTCAGAGTGCTGGATAACATCTGGACACGTGAGGAAGACTTGCACTACACAGGTATATAAAACTTAAAACAGTCTTAATAGGGAAAAATATGATTGATGTAGGATCATGTAGTGGATATTTAGTGCATTTACCTCTTGGTTGAGCCCAGGCTCATAGTCAGGCTCACCTTAACAACCTAACCTGAACGCTTTTTCACTGTTTACAACAGTGTGTGAAATATACTGACTACACTTATACGGTTTTAACAAAATATCGAGCCAGCAGGCACGCCCCCTTCTGCTTATTGTGTTATGACAAAAATGTACATCATTGGGACCCAAGCAGACCTTAAAGTCCAAAACCTACTGAACTTTGAGAACAGGAAGTTTTGCTATTTTCAAAGGGATCGTACTTATTTTTTTTGTTTTGTTTTCTGTTCACAGAGCACAAACTCTCCCTCTCCTTTTATCTTGTCTTATCTTATCTTTCACAAAAACACGTATGGTGCCTTTCTGAACAATTTGCAATTTGGCTTAACTTTCTTAAATTTATGTGTTGATGCATGCACGGTAAATCCAAATCAACTGTTTGGGACTTGCCAAATTTACATCTGCAACATGCCAACTGTTGAGTGACGTCCCATCTGAGAGATGTGAAACGCAGCATTAGAAATGTACAGCCCACACTCACCACAGACTTTTTGCACTCTCCCACAGGTCCGCACACACACGATATGATCAAACTAGAAGAAAATGGACCCCTCAAACACGAAGATTCTGACTCTGTAACAGTGCCGGACGAAGATGGGTTTTCTGTCCACTCCTCTGGGCTGGACTCTGCTGATAGTGATGATGAAGCTGACTTGAGTGAAGAAATGTATCCGTACTATGACACGTACGTATACATTTATGAAATATTGTTTGTTTATTGTTTGAGTTAGAGAAAATAACTATGCAGCATTAAATATACATCATTATATTATTCTCATGGTGAATGCTTCTAACACTGCAACTTCTTTGTGTGAAGTGATGATGATTATGATGATGATTATGAGGAGGAGGAGGAGGAGGAAGAGGAAGAAGAAACCGAAGCCGCCACTACTCTGGATGGAGGCAGAAGAAGATTAAGGAGTCAGAGGAGTTGGCCTTCAGCAAACAAAGCCAAGCGCTCTAGGTCAGAGCCACTCTCTGGTGATGCAGCTGCCTGGAAAAGTGAAAAGGACCCCGACAACTTGCCACACCCCCTGCCACATTTCCTGCCCACGAGAAAGCCAGGTATCCAACTACCTCTTTCAGAGTATCTGACCAATCCATCTCCATCTAAGCTCTTCAAGATGTATTTTAACTGGGCCGCTGTCAAAACACTGTGTGCAAACACAAACAAAAATGCAGCAAAAAATATTGCCGCAGGTAAAAAATTCAAATGGGCTGAGCTCACAGAGGCTGAACTCTATCGCTACATTGGCCTGACACTGTACATGTGGATTCTGAAGCTGCCAAATATCAGGGATTTTTGGCGTGTCAGTTCTATCTTTTATGTGCCGTATCCTAGCAAGGTAATGTCGAGAACCCGGTTCCTCCTCATCACCTGGAACATTCATATGAGTGACCCTGCTGAAGATGAACTCAATGACCGCAAAAAAGGCACCGATGATTATGACTGCCTGCACAGAATACGCCCCCTGTATGACAGTTTGCGGTTAGCTTGCAAAGCGGTGTACCATCCCCAGAAAAACCTCTCTGTGGATGAGCGCATGGTACCGACCAAAGCCAAAACTGCCCTAAAGAAAAACATAAAGAAGCAAAAAAAGAGGTGGATAAAATTTTTTGTGTTGTCTGACAACACGGGGTACACTTTTGACTTCAAGGTTTATACAAGGAAGTCCACTCTGGAAACCGGGAGGGGGCTGTCATTTGATGCAGTGGTGTCTCTCATCAACAAAAACTGCCTCGGATCTGGATATCACATTTACTTTGATAAGTTTTATACCAGCCCAGCACTGTTCCGCCACCTTCACGACCTGGGGTTCGGAGCATGCGGCACATTTCGGGACACGAGAATCGGCACCCCGAAAACCAAAGTTAATGCCTTGACCAAAGAATCTCCAAGAGGGACAGTCAGGTGGATCAGAGAGGGAGCCCTCATTTTCATCAAGTGGATGGACACAAGGGAGGTGAGTGTGTGCTCCACCATGCACACTGCCTTCTCAGGGGACACTCTGAAAAGGATGTGTAAGGTTGGTGGAAAACGCAGAGTAGTCGAGGTGCCGGTGCCATCGGCTGTGAAAGACTACAACAGCTTTATGGTGGAAGCTGACCTGACAGACCAGCTGATTGGCTCCTATTCCTCATGGAGAAAGAGCAGGGCGTGGTATGTGATGGTGCTGTATCATTTCATTGACATTGCTGTAACAAACAGCTACTTAATCAGCAAGGAGCTGTGTGGCAGACTGGAGGAGCAGCCTGTGAAGCACCAGGCCTTCCTGGAACAGCTGATAGCTGAGCTCTGTGAGGTTCCCCTACAATCGGTCCCAGAGAGGTATCAGCACATCCCTGTTGCCATTGTTGAAGGGGCATCTGGCCATAATAAAGCCTCAAAGGGGCGAAGGAAGTGCAAACTGTGTCGGAAGTGCACTCCCTTCATGTGTGAGGCATGTAGAGTGGCTCTGTGTGTTATTGTTGACAGGAACTGTCACAAGCTATATCACAGCTCCTTAAAGGGTACTGAAAATTAAAATTTGACTTCATGCTTCTCTGTATACAAGTTTCCCTGACACTTAAAACTTTGATTAGACTGTTGAAAATTGTTTATTTTGATAAATTGTAACTTTGCAAATGTTTCACATGTGCATTTTGTTTTAGTTTTTAATGCTGTTAATACATTTAAAAATGTTTGCATCTCAAAAATGAAGCTATAAACATACTAGCAATAAATTTCGAGAGCTTCAAAAGGATTCTGTGACAATTTTCTTTTTCCATTTATAATTTTGAGGCACACAGCTATAAAAAATTGTATGTAGAAAATTACATCTTTATAGAAATCTGTTTTTTTTCCGGCTTATTGTTCTTTACCCATTTATTAGTTACTAAGAACTTATTACATATTGAATTTGGGAAATGAAGGTTATAATTATGTAGCCAGCTGAAATGGCACATTTCACACAGCATGTAAAAATACAAGGATAAGCTGTAGCAGACTTGTTCTATGGGAGATCACAACTTGGAACCCTCTTACCATCTGTAGACCAAAGAACAGATTGGTCTGTAGGCCTGGATTAGTTCCACAAGTTATCATACCAGCCTATGTGAATGACCTTCATAATACTGAAAACCCAGGTTTGAACTTGAAGTTAACTCATCAGCCTCGCTTTAAAGTACAAACTTGTGATCACAGTATCTGCAGCTTCTGTGTTTTAGTTGATAGTTGCTATGATAACTTTCTTTACCCTTAAAAAAAATCTCTGGCAGACTTGGAGTTAGCTGAAAATTAATCAAACTTTGTAACAAATTCGAATCATTAAACTAATAAATAATGTCTAAAGATACATTTAATTGATACTATTTAATTTAATTAAGACAATAGAGGCCCTATGGCATACATACAACAACGACCAAGAAAAAACAAATGAATTCAATTTTTTTTTAAATAGCACCAAATCATAGTAACTGTTGCCTCAAGGTGCTTTATATTGTAACATAAAGACTCCACAACAATACAGAGTGAGTGAAAAAGAACGTGCATCATGGAAATCCCCGGTAGCCTAACTGCATATTGCAGAATAACTAAGGCAATGCAATCCAGCCCTAATATTTGATTAATATGCACATTGAAGGACATATACTCTTTGAAAATACCTTCAAGATTCCTCAGTGCTACTAGAGGCCAAGGTAGTACCATCCACAGTAATAATCTGGTTTGGTACCAAATTCCTAAGATTTTAAGGGGCAAGTACAATAACCTCAATTTTATATGAACTGAGCAGCAGAAAATGCAAGGCCATCTAGGTCTTTATGTCTTTAACACATTCCTGCAGTTTAACAAATTGGTGTGTGTTATGCCATCTTTGCCTTCTAATGATATTGCCTATAGGAAGCATGTAAACAGAATTGGCCCTAGCACAGAACCCTGTGGAACTCCATTTACACGAACAAACGAGTCTATTGGAGTAATAGAATTCAAAACACTGAAGCGCTGTAGCTGTTTAAGTAAGTTAAATAACTACAGCATGTTCTAATCACTGTAATAAAATACTATGGCCAATAGTATTGAATGCTGCACTGAGGTCTAGCAGGACATGAGTCCACTGTCAGGGACGAAAGAAGATCATTTGAGACCTTCACTAAAGCCATCTCTGTACTGTGATGGGCTCTGAAACCTGACAAAAAGTCTTCAAATAGGAAATTCCTCTGTAGATGACCGAATCCCCCAGGTATAGTATATTGTAATGTTTAATGTGTGTGAGGAAATGAACCTTTGTAGATAAATTTTATGTAAGCTTTTATTTTTTTAAACATTTTTCTGAACAGCCTCCACCACTTTGCAGTCTGCCTCCCAACCCACTACTAGCAACCATCACGATGCCCCGGCCAGCTACCGGCTCCTTTCACCGCTCCAGCCCAACACACCAACCTACACAACTATACAACCTCCCCAGCAAATAGAGTGTGCGTTGAATGCCTTTGATAATGAAAGTATGCTTTGATAAAATTAGTTTCGTCACAATTTCATTGTAATTTTACCATTGAAACACTAATTTATGTTATTAAATATCATCTTATTTTGATTTTTTAGATTCCAGAGACTCTGTGAGTCAACTTTTAAAAGGCAAATTCTAAAATGTTGTACTTTGAAATTTTACATAGGATTTCATCTACATGCGAAAGGGATAAACTTGTAAACAGTTTGAGCTGATTGAACTACTTAAACTTGAAATCAAAATGTGAAGCCATAACTTATGGATATAGTTGTTTTTTTTCTCATCACAAACAGATGCAGCCTTCCAAAAACTGATAACTATGGTGACAGAACTGACCAGAGAAGTCAGGGACCTCCGTGAGGAGTTCAGAGCCTTCCGTCAATCCTGCAGCAATGAACCTGTTGATGCTGGCGTTTTGCCTCTGGATTTGCCTTTACATAATATGGATGAGCTGAACAATGCAGAGGCAACTCTGCAGTTACCGGAAGCAAATAAAACAATGGTAGGTTCTTAAAGCTTATTAAAATTGCCTGCTGCTGTATGTCCTGCTTGAATATACATCAACATGCTATCATCGGAAGATCCAACAAATAGGAATTAACCAAAATATTTCCTATTATCTCTGGAAAATTAAGCTTTGGGAAAAAAAACATTGTCTCTTTCAATTATTCCATGTCAACTCACAAGCATATTCATACACATTTAAAACATAAGTCACAATAATTCAACTTTTGAAAATATTTTGATAGGTGAGACGCTTTTCTTTGATTGGAGGGACCACACTGGAGGTGCGAGTCCGTCGTATACTAGCCTATGCCATTACAAATGAGCTGGCCTCTGGACTTAACTGGACTGGGAGAAAAAATAAGGACCAGACCAAGCAAAAAAGGGCATTTAAAGAGACAGTGCTCTGCAAGTGCATCTTTGGTAAGTTTTATTGTTTATTGTAGTTTTATGAGCCTTCACTGAACCAATAGAGTGGATCAATTGAAGTGCTACATGCATCTGTCATTTGCTGTGTCAGGTCTTTGCTAGATTGTTTTCCTCTTTCTTAAGAACATGACTTTTATGTCCTGTTAACCTGGAGATAGTGTTTTAGGTCTTCCACTTCTTTTGTCCTCCATTTGTTCAGTTTCTTCCCTGTTTTTTAAGGATACCTGGCACACAATGCTAAGACGTGCCAAATTTGCAGCTAATAGCTCTGTGGGAATCACCTTGTTGGTAAAAAAAATTATAGTTACGTCCATCACACTGGCATTTTTCATGATTCAGCTTGACAGTTTAATTATGTATTTGGGACTGCTGAATTGGAGTGACAACCAAAAATTTCTTTGGACAAGCCAAGCCACAAATGCTGAGCTTTCAGCTAATAACACTCAGAGTTTCTTGAAGTCTCTTCACAGGCACCTTAAAGCCCACCAACATCTCACGTTAGCTGATCTCAATAGGTCACATAATAGGGTGAGGCAAGGTCTCACAATGGTTTCACCTGAAACCTCTGCTGATAATGACCCACACCCTTTTTCACACCTTGATAAAGTCACCTTTCATGTGATGAGATACATGATCATTAGTGGGTTCTTGACCCTCTTAAAGGACTGCTATCACCAGGGTTTTAGTACTTGGGACTCTCCAAAGAATATTGAAAGACCAGAAACTATGACTGCGAACAAAACAAAGTAGTGTGGCACATTGGAAGCAAAAAAATAATAAATTTGGCAGACTTATTTCTACCTTAACCATGGCAAGGTGATAGTTGTGGCTTGCCCAGTCCTCGTCTGAGGGATACAGGAAAATGCTTAGGACAATATGTGTAATTTCAGGCCCCATGTTTGGTCCTGCAGCCAAGCAGATCATGAAATATAGCACACAGGTGAACAAAGTGAGGAGGTAGCTTGTTGATTTCAGCCTTGTGACTTTCATGTTAATCAGCCTACTAGTTTATAGCAGCGGTCCCCAAACTTTTTTGTGCCACGTACTGGTTTAATGTCAGACAATATTTTCACGGACCGGCCTTCATGTTGTCGTGGATAAATACAACAAATTAAAATGATATGACCAAGACAAAAACTGTGGTATTTTGTAAATATAATAATAAAATTCAACAAATTCACGGTAAAATTGTGCAACTTTATTAGCAGCGTCCTCCTGAAATGCGCCAACAACATTGAGAGTAACATCCTCCTCTC